TCAATTCGTCGTATTTTTTTTTATGTATGTTCAATGATAATTATTTAACACGGTGTCCGCTTTCAATGATTTTTTGTTGTTGTTAGAAAGGGGGATCTTCAGGGATGGTCCCATATTAATTTGGTCAAAATCTAATAATTAGACTCATTAGAAAATCCTCAAACTCTTCATTTTCAATGTATGTTTAGCGGTAATTCTTTACCACCTTGTCCAATTTCTATGATTCTTTTTTTGTTAGTAAGGGGGTACCTCAGGGGTGATCCCATATAAATTTGATTAAGATGTGGTGACGGCATATGCACGATTTTGAGGTCGGTTTTTTAAAATTACTTTTAATATTTGTTAAAGAAATCCTCGCCAAATCTTTGGATAGCTTTATTTCTGGTAAAATTTAAGTTGTAATCTTAAATTTTAGAGGTACGAGACAGTGGTTAGTGGGACGTAATTCCAGATACTAGTCATTCCACTAACCCTAATCTCCCCTTTGCTCCAAGCTACCCTTACGTCAAGATTTTCAATGACATCTGCATAATATGAAGAGCTATTAAAAAGCGCATTTTTTTGAGTACATTCATAATTAAAAAAGTAACAAATTTGGTTATCTACTTTTTGAGGAATTTTCATTAATTTTTTTAATGTTTTATTCACTATGAAATATCAAGCTAAGAGTACCTACCTATGGAAGAAAAGTATGGAGTATTACGCCCCCCTATGCACTGTCTCGTACCCGAAAATGGAAATTTCCAACTTAAATTTTACCAATAATAAAGTCATCCAAAGTTTTCGCACGGACACTAGTATATTGAATTGCATAAATGCAATTCTTAGCTTTTCGAGTTGTTTAATTAATCAAAGTTGGGTCAATATAAGATTAGAATATCCCATTAAAAACAATTATGAAACCAAGTATAATAAAATCTTATGCAAAAATAACAGTTCATTGATTGATATAATTAATAATTATAAAAAATGCACTTTACGCTTTATAAAACAAGGTGAACTATGTTTTCTATTTCATTGTGATTAAAAAATTGTTCTAAATTTTAGTTTTAATTTTAAATAAAACAATATTTATGTCGCGTAACATCCAACCCTGTGCATTGTTTATTCCTTGCTCGCGATATGAAGTCTAGCGGCGCTGGGAATATAGAGACAAACGTACCCCTTCGAGAAACTAACGGATTGATCCCTTTGCAGCGTATAAGTCATAGAAAGGCAGTTTTCGATGGTTCTGGAAAGCATAGAGAGTTCTAGTACAGAGTTGGCTTTATATAAATAGCGGAGTTGTCGACGGACGGGGAGATTTAATTTAAGTGTTTGACAGAAAAGATAAATTGTAATAAATAAATTATAATTGTGAGTTATAATAGTTATATAAATTAATTAGTACGACGTCATAAATAAATTGTAAATAGTGTGTTTTAAATAAATAATCTTTAAATAAATTAAATACACGTTACATTTACATAAAGAGTGTTTTTGAAATACATGTGAACATTAAAACGTCGAAAAACGAACTTCAATAAGTTTTCCGTTAAGTTCTTATGGAAAAATGGCCTTTCATTAAATTTTCAGAAATTTTGGAATGTTGTAAAACTCGATGCTCTGACAAAAAATGTCCATTGACCCAAACAGTTGATATGGCTCGTTTTCGAGGCATGTTAAACAACTTTTTTTAACACCATTTTTCATAACACACCTGTTTTATTCCCGTTTGTTGTTAAAAACATGAATAATTGATTGGCATTAATATTTTATAAAAAATTAACTGCAACATTTGAATAATTACAAGGTCGTTCGAAAGAACGTATTATTTATTTTTTCCAAAAAAAAATTTTTTTAATGACTGCTTTTAAAACAAAATCGTCAATAATACATCATATAGGTCATGCTCAATAAATCCTGTTTGCAGTGGACATTATATTGTTTTACAGTTTTAACGAGTATACACGTGTAAACTGCAATTTTTTTATTATATTAGACTAAAAAAGTACGACAGGTTACCCTATCATACAGGGTGTTACAAAAATTGTAAAAATTAGAAAAGCCATTTTTTTATACCACTCTATATTATAAAAAAAATTATTTTAAAGTAGCACTTGTTTTTTTTTATTTCTGGAATCTTAAAGAAAAAATCTGGTAATTTTGTACAATCTATTGTATCACTCCTGTAAATGTTTACGAGGATGAACTAAAACATACGTATTCCAAACACATCTTACTCGTAACATTTTTTTATATATATTCATTGCATACGAAAATACTGAAAAATTAAAAGTTTACACATTTTCTCAAATATTTCCATTACGTTCCATTTTTAGAGAAATCATGTATGCCATGTATGGAACAAAAATTATTTATAGAAAATGATATCACAAACAACTTTTATTTGATCAATTCTCTTAAAAATTCGAATTATGCACTTTTAGTCCAATTTCTCGAATATGGATCATTTTAGGAAAATTATGTATGGATAAAAAACGATAGAGAATAACATTACAAGCAAGTTTTATTTGATGAAGTTTTTTCTCCAAACGTAAATAACAGATTTATTCCATAAAGTAGAAAAACGACCCCCTATAAAGTTCCCCACCGCACGATGCATTAAAGCTTAAATTTAAAATTTGATGTTTTTCTCTTTATCCGTTTTTCAATTATCTTCAATATTCAAAATAAGTACTTTCTTAAATATCTCGAATACGATCCATTTTAGAGAAATTATGTATGGGATAAGAATTATAGATAATAACATCACAAACAACTGTTATTTGAAGAATTTTCTTCTCCAAGCGTAAATAACAGATATATTCCATAAAGTAGAAAAACAGCCCCCTATAAAGTACCCTCCAGATGTTCCGACTCTGCCCAAAATCTAATCATCCCACCGGATGCCAGAAAAAAACCTTAAGTTTAAAATTTGGTGTTTTTCTCCGTATGTGTTCATGAGTTATCGATTATACAGACACACACAGACATTTCACGAAAATAGTCAAAACAGATTCAGATGACGCCAAAAGGTAAAAAACCGTCAAAATCTCGAGGTCGAAAAAATCATGATTACTGAACTTTCCTTATCTGTATAGACAGGAAAGTAAAAATGGTAAATTCTAAATTGTACCTACCTGTCGATTGACATCCAAGTCAAAATTTGAATTGGAAATTGTATTTTTCAAAATTTTTAGACCATATTATTTTAGGGAGTGGTCAAACGTCAAAATACAATTCGAAACCATTATAGCTCTTTATTATGCCTTTACGTTGATTGTCGCCATTTTCATCCAAATTGTCGAATTTTCACTCTTTAGGGTCTTTATAATTATTTTAGGTGGTATAGTCGAACATCGAAACATAAATTTAAACCATTGTTGGAAATACATCCAACATATTATATTAATACAACAGGCTAGACCAGCCCTGGGTGCCAAACTGATCAATCAATTGATAATAGAGCAATAATTCAAATACAAAAAATAAGAGCCACTCCTGTTCCATTAAATTATTTGAAAATTTGAAGAACAACAAAATAATATAGTCGTTTTCTAATATTCAACAAAATGATGTACTAATGATGAATCACGTGACCAATAAATGGCCGACTGCTGCAATCATGATTTTTATCTGATGAAAATTATTTGAGAACGACTGACATTTGTGATTTTATAATCTTAACTGTCAAACTGTCTTTATTTAATGAAAACAAACAACTCGAAGACTTTTGATAAGCATAAAAACTAAAGACAAGTACAGGCAATACAATAATTGAAAAAATATGTACCTGTCTTCATTTATTTGCTGTATATCTAACGCTATTAATCTTATTTTTAAAGTTAGCCCACTTATAGGATGGTTTGAAAAAACCCAGTGAGTTTCTTCATTCATATTATTAGAAATTTTAAGCAACTTTTTCTATTTCCTTATCTGTTTAATATTAATTAATAATTTAAGGTTATGTCACGTGATCCATCAGTGCATCAACATAATCGAGTTGATGGATTTGGTGACAACCATCTGAGAATAAGGTTGAATTTAAGAATATGATGTATGACTCTTCTAAAACAATCTGATGGATAAAAGACCAGTTTTGATGAAATCTAGATGAATATTAGAAAACGCCTTATTTGAGTTGAGTACTTTAGTGACGTATTCCGCTTATGATTTTATTAGTTTCCGCAGAGTTGGCAACCAGATCCGTATTTAGGCGATGTATGTAGTCTTATATGACAAGATACAAAGACATTATTTTATGATATTTTCACATTATATGTGAAATTTTCTGGAAATTCCCACTATCATATTTTTAAAGACCTTGACTTGGTAAATTTTGATTAAATTAAGCATTTTGCTATTTAGTATTCGGTTACGCCATCTAGCGGTCGTTCTACGAATCTCTAAATAATTTTCTGGTTTTTCTTGTGGCCACTTTGGTCGTTGAAATTTTTTCTCAGAAGCTGTACAACAAACAGTTTTTGAGCGAAAGCCATGTTTATTGGGCCACCCAGTACATGTATTTCAAAAACAGCCTTTATAAAAATGCTTAGAAAAGTAGTATTACTTGGTAGTAATTTTTTAAATATCATATCTGTGTATAGGGTTTAACGAAAGCTATTTGTAAAGTTCCTGCCAAACTTCTCCCCATAAATGGCCTTGAACGTCTTGATATAAAATTTAACCTACTTATGGCTCTATATCAATCCGTCTTTAATTCTGTATTTTTTGGAAATTTATGACTAGAATTTGTGTGGTTGTAAAATTCTGTTAACAACGCAACATCTTTGCATTTTAAATATATGGACGAGGAAGTTATTTTATTTTCAGCTTACCCTCATATATATGTCAGTAAATCTGTGAAAACAAACCCATTATATTATGACATGATTAGTGACTAAAAGCATAATAAGCAAATTAAAATATGGAAAACAAACATGCGTTTTGTGATTAACTGCCCATTCAAATGAACCCAAAATGATTGGTGACATTAAAAATAACTTTAAAAAAATTACTTTTAATAAATGCCCATGCTAATCATAATTCTAGACCATAGAGGACAGAAATCTCTACGATTGTCTGCCCTCGGTGGCTTGTTGGCCAGCAATTCCTCCACATATTGGCACGGACACAAAGCGGAAGTAATATGGCGTGGATTGGAGGGATTTCCCATGATCTCATCTAAAGTCCAATCTAATCTCCTGCGCAAAAAATCTTTCCCCCACTTCTGACCGTTGCGAAGGAAAAGCATTTCAGGTTGGCCCTAATGATAAACAAAATTTAATAATTTAGACAAAAATTATTTTAACTTAAAATACTTTCGTATTTTTGAAAAAGCTGTGAACTGTGAGTGAAATTGTATTTTTTTAAACGCAAAAGAAGCTTATCGCCAACCAACAATAACAGAGCCATCCCTTACCATAGCGAAAGTAAACAAACAATTTACCTGCCGCTAATATTTATCAACATAGCTATGACTGCGACCAGTGGAATACCCAGATATGGATCTTGGGGGAAGGGGGATAACAAAATTGTACATGAAACAAATTTTTATTGTAAATTTGAATTATCTATTTTATATAACAAAATCTAGTCACCTAGTCCAGGAGCTGATACCATATTACATGACTGATCGATGAATTATATCATCGACGATGATACAAGCAGAAAACTCGTTTTTAAAGTGCCATGAAAACTCCTCACAACAATTTTAAGACAATTTAAATTTTTATTTAATACGTTACTTCTAACACATTATTTGATTTAGTAATTATTATAAAGCAATTTAGAAGTATCTTACTCTTATTTTTTCTTATGATCACTTATCACTTTGTATAAATGTTTGAGTTTGCGGATGTGCTGGGACTTCCTGGGGGGATATATCCCCATTATCTCCCCCCCCCCCCCCCATGGGTACGCCACTGACTGCGACATTAAAATTAAATCCTATATCACTATCACAGCTCCAACAGTAAAAGTTTTGTCGTGAATTATTTATAGATAATAATGTTTTATATTCGCCATTATTTTTCAATCTGCTTACTTTGCTATAATAAAATGTAATAAATTATAATTGCTCCATTTTTTTAATTATACATTTTCACGGTTGGCGATAAAAGTGTGTATGCACCACGTCAGTAAAGTAACTTTATAGAACTTTGCTTATAATCTCAGACTAGTTCGATAAAGTATCACCTATACTTAAGAATGCCCATTGAATTACCTGTTTTCGTGACAACCTTGTAGTTCGACTGCCCTGTATAACAATATCTTGCGCAGATATATCCATCCTCTGTTCCCAGCCGCTATTTTGGTCCCTCTCTTGTTGGTCAATAGCTGTTTGAATATGTGCTATACATGGTGCAGAATCTAAGTATATAAAACATAAAGTAACTTTGTGGCAACTAATTTTTCCTCTATCGTCGAGAGCTAATAATATCTAGAAAGAGAACATAAAAAGTCCGGGATTTAGATAATGTGAAGAAAGAACAACTTACCTTATGTCTTAACAGATGTTTGTTAACATTTGCCATACATTTTTCCAAATTTCTTTGCAATCTAAACTTCAAATACATAGACAAAAATATGGCCCCTGCGTTTAATATCAACCAGCCTATACCTAAACCAAATAAAGTGAGTCCCTCTAAACCCGAAAAGAGCAACCCCAAAAGAACTATAAAAGCTACTGTAATCCATAAGAAAAGGACACGTTTGTAACAAACATTGTATAAAGAAAATCTCACATCATTGACTAATAGCTCCATGGCTTGGACGTATTCTTCTACAGTAAGCTAGAACAAAAAATATACATACTTTGGCTAAATAATTGTCAATAATAACAACATAATAAAAAACCTGGCGTTAAAATATCATTATACGAAAATGCGTCACTTTAATAACCTAAAATAGCTATTTATGTAATCAGTTACGAAACGTCTTTTTTTGTGTAACGAGTGAATATTTGCCGGATGAACAGAGCGAGGTTTCGCAAAATGAACGTCTGATTAAGGACTCCTTAGCGGCTGTATCTCAAAAACAATTTATCTTACGGTTTCAAACAAAATTTATAACAAAGGCGGTGAAAGAAAAATGCTAGAAATTATTTTCAACTTTCTATTTTCGCCGTTAGAGGGTGTAATTCGCTATGGTAATGAAAAACAGTCATTTTTCTTCTAAAAATGTCAAAAAATAGTATGATTAAGAACCATTAAAATAAGCTTATAATTATTATCTATGTAATGCTGTAGTTCCATAAAATGTTAATAGTCAATATTTAATCACTATTTCGAAGAAATACATTATAATTGAGAATTATTAATATTATACATTCATAATAAATTAGTCTTTGCAAAAATAACAGAATGAAACAATTTTTTGTTATTATCTGTTTAAATGTTTGACATTTTTTTTACACAATAATCTATTATTAGAATTAGAATTAATCGTTTAATGAAAATTACTAAGTAATGTAATTGTACATGTAATATATTTTTGGGAAATGGAAAAATAGCAAAAAATTAATAGAAAATAAATTGAAATGCAATTAAGATCCATTAATTTAAAGCTTATAATTATTATCTATGTTTTGCTGTGTTGTGTTAAGTTTAGTTCATCGAGAATGAAAACATTAGCATCCCACCTGGATCAATTATTATACATCCATTGAATATTAACAATGTTATTTCCATACCTAATTAGTGCAAATAAATGCGGATAATGTTTATTAGCTGTGCTAATAGTGTCAATTAATTATAGACCTGAAATTGTAGTAAACAACAGAAGAGAGTTAAATGAATAAGTTCTTTACATATAGACATATATTTAGATCTCATTTTGGACACGTCAAAAGTAAATGTAAAATATAAAATATAACATTTAGGTATAAATAATAAAATTAATAATAAAATGCATAGAATGACGCAATTAAAAATAGTCGATTTTACAGTATGACGTTTTTAAATTTATTTATAAATGTTTCATTGCATATTTAAAAATGAAGTTAATTTAATCCTAGATTACCTTTAATAATTAAATTAATATAATAGTTTTGCTTGCGAAATAAAACAGTGCAAATATGGGAACGTGGCCTTCAACGATAAGACATTCCTAGGCCTTTAAAACCGTCTAGACCTGTTTTTGATATTTTGATATATAATATAAGTTTTGGGACTATTATATTTGTTAGACATTTTTATAATGCCAAATGGTATTGTTTTGTGATGTAATAATAAAGGAATTATACCTGGAATAACTTAAGATTAGTAGGTACATGATTTAACAGATATGTACTAGCTCAACTGCATTATAAATATATATTTTTGTATTAAAATCAAGTTTCAAAATAATACATAACTGGACAGTCATTGGGCTCACAATGGTTGTCCTAGATCAAATTGTTTATAATAAATTAATATCTAGATAAATCGAGTATCATTCACTCATCGGTTTTAATTACTTAAGTGTGCAGACGTACATTAAGCACTTCTGCTATTTTTAGCAAATATTTTTTTTTGTTTAATAAGACAAAAACTTTGTTCCATTTGTATAAAACTGTTTGGGACAGACTGTATATGTATTTAAATATTATTTTTCAGTTTTGATATTAAAAAAATAATTTGATAGAGTAGATTATTTTTTTAAACAACATATCTTTAGTATATTATTAATAATTTTTTATTTATATAAAAATAAAAGATTAATCTTTGTATTTTGATTAAATTATTTAAATTCTACATTTTTTAATTAAGACTTTTGGCATCTATTTATTTATTCAGTTCTGTGTTCACTTGATCCAAGCTTTCAATAAAAAATAATTACCATTTAATAAGTGGTAATTCTGTAATTCAATACGTTTATTTTAACGGGTGTTAAATTTTACGATTTTAACATAAATTGTAATTCTGTAAAAATAAAATTAATGCATACGTTAAATTTACAGAAAAAATAAACATACGTTAAAGTAGTTCAAATATGCCGTACAAGTTTGGTTAAGTTTTAAGGTCTGTCAAATAAATGTCATTCCTCTTGTCATATTTATTGTATCTGTCTGTTTTTGCACAAGATTATGGAATAAAGTAGCGGCCGAATTTACTTGGTTGGCCATCAATTTTCAATATAAACAAAACTAACCCCAGTAACCTTATAATAGTGTCATTCTACGGCAAATTAATTACTAACTACAAATGGTTTATATACACTATAAAAAATATAATTTCTCAATACAATTTGTCTAATTTCTACTGTTAAAATTACTTGAGTACTTTCAAAATGGTTTATTTTCATGATCTTAAAGCCTACTAATTAGTACCTGTTAATATCTTCGGTTTAACGCATAAAATTAACACATTTATGTTAAATTTTTAACATATTTCTGCTTATAGAATATATATTTGCAGCACAAATGAACTATTATGTTAATTATGACAAGTTAAAATTTTTAATGAATTTACAGAATTGCTTTTCATATTTAACATACGTTATATTTTTAACGTCCGTTAAATTTTAACATATTCGTTACAGTTACCACTTATATCTTCGTTTCAAAGCATAAAATTAACACATTTATGTTAAATTTTTAACATATTTCTGTTTATAGAATAGATTTTTGCGGCACAAATGAACTACTATGTTAATTGCGACAAGTTAAAATTTTTCATGAATTTACAGAATTGCTATAAATATTTAACATAAGTTATATTTTTAACGTCCGTTAAATTTTAACATATTCGTTATAGAATTACCACTTGTATAATTGTAAATATCTCGGTTGAGCTCTTTTCGATTATGCAAAAACTAAGCATAGGTACTTGTAGATATTGCTATTGTAAACAAAAAACCTAAGATCCATATCTTGTGAAAATGAATAATAAAGACACAAATAACTTTTTTTAAATAAAAATATCGTGGGCTTAGAGCGAAAACTCACTAATTTTTCAATTTTTAGATTTCTGTTTCAATTAAGTCAGCTATACCAAAAGAACATTTTGCAAAACTCACTAAGTCAAATATCCCTCTGTATTATTAAATAAATGAATATTTTGTTTTCAACTAAGTCAAACATCCAATTTGGATTTCACAGAAAAAGTCACAAAGTATCCTAGTGAGTTTTAACGAAACTATGTATTACAGCACAAATAGTTGACTTAGTGAGTTTTTGGAAACTCATTAAGTCACCCATGTATCGCAACTGTCATTACGCAAAACAATAAAAACATACTCGAAATTCAGTTAGAAGTTTGCTGAAGCAGGTGCAACAGTGTACGTCTTTAGTTTTGTATCATTTTTTTCAAAATGCTTTCATCTCGTATATTAAAAATGTTTAATAATGCTGTGTCTGTGAAAAATAGTGAAGGTAAGCAAAACACAACTACCTTTATGTAGCAAGTAATCAAGTAAACTGTTTGGGGCGACCTATAAAACAAATCCTAAATAGTAATATTATTATCGAGTAGGTACTTATAATCGTTTTTTTAATAATTTAGTGCAAACCAAAGAAAATGGAGTGAGTCTGGATTGGAATATTATTGAGAGTGACGAGATAGTTTATAAAGATAATCAGCCAGGGAAAATGGAGCCATCTTCGACTACAACATTAGGGATGATGGCGAACTTATTTTGGTGCAAGAAACTGAAATAAACTAAACTGGTGTGGTAGGTTCAATATAATTTTGATTGTTTTTAAACTGTGATATTTATTGTGTATCATTAAATTACAGACCATCACATGACCCTGAGCATTGGTGAAGAGAATAGTGAGAATGAAAGTCTCGCTTCCCTGCGAAGGAAGTTGATACAAAAAAAACGAAAATGCGGTTAACGATAAAAGGAAGAACGATGTTGAAGAAGAAGTCAAACAAGAAAATGATGAAGATAGTTTTAGATGGAAAAAAAGGAATGAACATCAATGGAAGAAAAACAAAAATAGAGATCAAAAGAGCAAGTGTGAGGTCTACTACTGTTCTAAATCAGGTGTAAATAGGGATCCTAAACGGCCCAAACCAATAACCTGTGGCGTAAAATGTAAATTTAAGTGCAGTGAGAAATTTACTGAGGAAGAAAGACTGTGCATTTGTAAAAAGTACTGAGGTTTTAAAGATTATATAAGACAGAAAGATTTTATTTTAAGCAATATTGATGTAAAATCACCAAAAACACGTAGACCTCGAAAAGGACCTGAGAGCAAAGAATGACAAAAAAAGTTTTACTATTTTTTAAAAAATCACGACCGAATTAGGGTATGTCAGTCTTTTTTATGAGAACGCTTTGCATTAACAATGAACCCAAGAAACATTATTTCTGGTACATTTACTGGCCAAAATAATAGAGGAAAACACACACCAGCTAATAAAATTAGCGATAGTGATATAGAATTTATAAAGAGGCACATTAATAGCTTTCCAAAAATGGAAAGCCATTATACAAGGAAAAATACTAGAAGAATGTACTTTGACTCTAAACTCTCTATTTCCAAAATGTTTTATTTGTATAAGGAAAAATGCTTGGAAGATAATCGCCAGTTTCTCAATCTATGTATAGAAATATATTTTGTACAAATTTTAATTTGTCCTTCTTTGTTCCTAAAAAGGACCAGTGCCAAATTTGATGGAAACATGGAAAGAAGCCAGAAAAACTGATGCTGCAAAGGCTAAAAAACTAGACAAAATTAGAGCTAATAACGATCGTGATTTTGTATCTGTAACTTTTGATCTGCAATCAGTGCTGCAGATACCCTGTTCTGATGTATCATTAATGTATTTCACTAGAAAAATTAACATGTATAACTTTACTATCTACGAGGCAGCTTTTCCAAATAAAGCATACTGCTACTCCTGGACAGAACTTAATGGAAAAAGGGGCAGTTCTGAAATAACTATGTGCTTATTTAAGTGGTTCCATACTCTTTCAGAAGAAGTCAAACATGTATCCCTTTTTTCTGATAGTTGCGGCCTTCAAAACCGCAACTAAAACGTGTGCGCCTTGATGATGTATTTGACTCAGACAACAGACATCGATGTCATTGCGCATACATTTTTCGAGAGTGGACACTCTTACATGGAGGTGTACCCCATGCATAGCGCAATTGAAAAACAAAAAAAATCGCCTGTATATGTAGTTCATGATTGGCTAAATATATTTAGGGAGGCAAGATCCAAAAGGAATAGAAATAAATTAAGGGACCCATATATTATTGAACAGGTAATGTTTAAGGACTTTTATGATTTTCAAGATCTGGCAAAAAAAATTATAAAAAATAGATTGTGTGATACCAACAATCAGAAAGTTCAGTGGCTAAAAATTAAATGTTTGCGATTTAAAAAAGATTCTCCCTACATTATCGCGTATAAGTATGATTACTTTGGGGAATACAGTCGATTGGATGTTCGTGGAAATAGAAGAAGGAGTCTAGATAATAATTTTCTAGATATGAATCTGGAAAAGCTCTACAAAAGGTTACTACTGATATCCAAAGAAAAGAAATCAGATTTACTCAATTTATGCCATAAGGGTACTATTCCAGAAGAGTATCATGGTTGGTATCAGTCCCTACCAGTCAGTGGATCTGTTAATATTGACCCAGCACCCAAACCAGAGTTCAATGATAGCGATGAAGAAAAAGATGAATTATAATTTACTTTACTTAATAAAAATTTATGAAAATAACTGGTTACTTTTTATAGAAAACAATTAAATCAAATTAATTATTAAATCAAAAAACCGATAAACAAATGCCTAAGCACATTATTCTTACCTTGGTCAAACTTACAACTTAAAAGAAAAACATATTACGTTCAAATTACTCCACTACAATTTTCTATGTTGATTTCCTCAGAACTACATTTTTTCGACTTTAGCTCTAAGCCCATGATATATGCCAATTTTTTCATTAATTTTATCAATTTCACCGGAAAGGGAGAGAATAGGGGTGCTGGGTGGATAAAACAATAGTTATATTAATAAATATTATTAGGACAAAAAAAAGTATAAGATTTTTTGTTTAGAATAGTGATAAGTACCAGAGACAATCCAGCGAGACGTGTAACTCAATGTATTTTTTTTGTTCGGTAAAAGTTATTTGGGCGATTGTAACCACAACCAGTCTATGATGGCGCCACTAGTAAATAGCGGGAAAATTAAAAATGCTTTAGGGCGGGAAATTCAAACATGGATTCAGAAATAAATAGTTTTTCTATACAAATTTACAGGAGAAACAAAAACTATTGTTTCACTGAATATTAAAGCTTCCAATAACATAAATTTTTTTATCATTTAAATAATCATTTTAATAAAGGAAGTTTTAATCAGTTTAATATAAGCAGTGAACATAGTTTTTATTACTCTTGTAAATTTCGCTAAAAAAAACTTGAAAATTCTATTGATTATTAAATATTTAAACTTGGAAAAATAATACACCAAACTCTTTTTCTATAAATTATATTTTTGTAAGGTACAGAAAAACAAACTACAATTGCTTCCTTTAGAAAGTACCTCCTATCATTTTGTAACAAATTACAAAGAAAGTAACAGTTATTATATATTCAAAATATATTTAAAAACTAATGTAACAAATATTTTATAAAGTATAGAGTATATCGATACCTTTTTGCCAGACTATCATAAGTGCCATTTGAACAAATGTCGCTTACATTAGTCTGGCAAAAAGGTATGGATATGTTATGACTGTTTATTTTAAAAGAAACCATGGAAACGAAACAAACACACATGTAAGTTGCCATGCCTTCTAAAAGGGAATGAAGGATGATATACTATCATCATTTAAACAGGACATTGCTGAAGGCTTACCCCTGTTATTTCGTTTGTTTGTGTATCTTGTGCGTGTGCATTCCTGTTGTGTCCGCAGTCATGTAAAAGTTTTCCTAGTCTCCTAATTTGGTTACTAGGTGGACCTTTTCCAATTAGTAGTCTAATCTATTCGATCTGTTCTGCAGCAGGAGGTACTTTTCAAACATAGCAAATAATAATAATAATAAACACTATTTAAAGATGAATACATTTTTGTAATTTTTTTGTCATTGCCCCTTACCTGTCTCTTACACCACCAGGGTATACCTATTTTCCACATTCCCTTTATTACAGATTACCTTACAATGTTTGAATGAATATAACATTTTACCCATGAAAAATCTAACTTCTCTTTTTCAATTTCATTTGAAACAATTGGTATATTACAATTTATTATCAAGGAAATCTTCTAATAAAGTTATAGCAAATCCTACTTAAACTACTGGTTGTTCTGCAGGATTAATTAAACTTTTCTTGAGATTGATCTCTCTCTCTCTCTAAAATCCAAAACCGACCTGATGTCCCCAAATTTATTTTCCAATGCATCCTGATTTAAAATTCTGCCCTTTTGTGATTCAATTTTTTTTCTTCCTTTAGAGTGGCTATTAGAGGTAGGTGTATGTAAGAAATAGCCAATCTCTAATCATTTCAAAAGTCCTTTGCCAATACTACATGTGCAGATTTTTTACTCAGCATACATTTTACTTTTCTAATAGATAGAAACTTTGTGCTGCCATTAAAGCTGTCCAGACATTCATCTACCTACTTAATGAACACAAGTAGCTGTAACAATGGATCTCTGTTCCAATTCACCTAAAATAATTATAGTCATTGTGTAATATATTATTAAACACACACATTATACAGTGGTTTTCTTAATACATTGGAAATTACTTACCTCTAGAAAGAAATGTGTACAAAAACGCGAGTTTGGTTCCAGAAATTGCTTCATGCAAAAAATAATATGCAAAAATAAACATTCCCCCCCAAAGAAAATTAATTAAACAACAAAATCAGACTCAAAGAAATATACGGGGCCCAAATTAAATTAATTTTAATAAAATGCACATGTCCATAACAACATTCATAACATTGTCAGTTGTCAGTTTTAATCGATATTTTGACGTCAAAAAACCAGCAACACCAGCGCCCTCTGAAAATGGTGTTAGTTTTATTGGAGAGAGATAGACATATGTAAAGATCAATGTAAAAGAAAAAGAGGGTCATATATGTAATTTAAATGGACCACTGAACATATTTTCCTATTAAGTTACACGTCTCTGTAAGTACCTACCAAATACATGCTTAGTTTCTTCATAAGCAAAAAGAGCTCAAACTGGACAATGACCCTATAATTTTATGGCGTTATAGAATACACACAGACAAATAGATATTTATTTAATTAAATTTTATTATAGCGAATACTCACTGTTAGGCCTTGTGCCATAAGTTCCTCAGGTACAAGTTCTGGACGGAATTGAGCTGGAGTAATCCATGGAAATTTTGTATTCACAGGTAATAGGGTAACAATAATATCACCATTGGCTAAAATAGTATAAAATTATTCTACAATTTTTTTTTCAAAACATGCTTAATTTGTTGAACAATCTATCAAAAATTCACCAACAAAAAATCGAGTGTTTTACTTGTTTTTTCGATGGCGTCTACATATATTGAGGTGCCTGAAGTGAAATATTAGAGAACAAAAATGTTTGAATATCAACAAAATTGAGTTATGTAAACTTCCCAGAAATAACACCAAATTTGAAGACATGACAACGTTGTAAATGTTTTCACCAAAAGTCAAATTATGTCAAATTCTCAACATTCTCATCTCATTATCATTCCAAATTAAGTAATAAGTACCCTAAAGCAATAATAATGTTGAAAGTTGAAATTACTTATTAAAATATTTATAATAGATATGAATGAGTCAGTAGAATAGGTATAACTTGACTATATTTGAATAGGATATTTAGGATTCGGAAACGGTAAATAAATAATTTCTTTTAATAAGGATAAATACATTTTCAAAAAAACATTACTTACAAAATCCTTGTCGGATTGGTTCAACAGTAGCTATCGGTAATTCAACATTTCTTAGCGGTTTTGGATCAAAAACTGCCACATTATTACTTTCAGTAGACCTATTTAAACTTCTTTCTATATTTACTTGAACGCTTTCCGTATTTATAACAGCTGCAGAATCTGATTCATTATTTACGGGCTGCTCTTCGTCGAATTTAACCCAATTTTGAGGTTTTTGAGGTGTTGGACTTTGAATTGAAGGAGGCTGTGGAACTTGAACAGCTTCAACACTTTGTAGATTTTTGGCAGTTTCTTCATCACCCATTATTAAAATTTATTTGGACGGAAGAAGATATTTACATCCTTTGTCGGTACAGTTATTTACGTTTGCGTTTTTTATGTTTTCATTACACACATCTAAGTCACAAGGCACTGAATATGAATGGCAAGGCAAATATAACATTTTGCAGGTGGGAGGACAGGTGGGCAGGTATGGTAAGTGAAAAGATTATAGATATCTGTTGAAATGAACAGGTGTCAAAAATGAAAACATTCCATAAATAAAATACATACAACAGAAATAGAATACTTTCTTGTATATGCTATATGTAGCTTTTCAATTTTTTTTTAATCAGAATAAATTAGTTAATATTTCCATTAGGTAATTTTTATTTTTATACAAAATTGTTATACCCGCTGGAATTATTTCAAAACTGGTGCTACCATCTAAACATGAAAAAATCGAAGTCATTTCAGTATTTACACTACTCATTCCTAGATGGCGAAGCATGTCATGTATACATATAATAGGACCGCTGTATAATAAGATGACTATTACAAACTATGAATAGAAATTATGAATCTGCTTTCAACTAGAAAATTACAAAACATTCGTTTTCAATTTAATATATCAAACATACAAATAATAAAAATTGTTTGTGTTATTGGGGCGAGTTAATTTTACATGTATTTTGTGTTGCCTGTTATTTGCTTCGTAAGTAATTCATGTGGCATGGGTTGCATAACATTTTGCTTATAAACTTCAAATGTAAAATGTCAAATACCAGAGTTCACCACTCACCACCTAAATATTGATTTATTTTTGTTCTGCGCAAATAATTAGAGCCGAATTAATAAATATTAATATTATTTGTCACTTAAAATAAAGTGAACTCTCTCCCTAGTGTTAGTTATGGATAAATAGTAATATAGTTTAAAAAATCATTTAGTGATTTTGTTGTGAAATTGATTATTCTTTCATTTTTATTTTCCTTCTAGATAATGGAGTTTTACAATTTAATTAACAGTTGTTTTGTGGCAAAAAAACCATAGTGTAAAATGAATTGAATCATATAAGTAAATAAGGTAAATATGCAGTCAAATTAAGCAAGTTAAAGATTTTATTTGTATCCACTTTTTTTAGTAAAATGGGTGGACAAGTCAGTCAGGTGTTCCAATCTGGTAGTGCCTTGTTAACCAATGTACATGGACATAAAGTCACTGATTCAACAAGACAAAAAGTTCAGACAATTTTTGATGCTCTAAGAGCTAATCCTAGAATTGGCGTACAAAGACTCGAGGGGCTTTTACAGCAAATTCCTAGGGTAAGTGTTTAGATATAGTTCTCATGTAATGCAGGCCTTCTAAGCATAACAGTTCTGTACAAATTTTGTTTTATTACAAAAATATAATAAAATATTTGTAGAATGAAAATATACTAGCAATACATGATGAAACTGGCTATAATCTGTTACAAAAATGTGTAGGAGCAAATAATGTTGAACTTGTCCGTTGGTTACTGGCTAGACACACTGCTGCTGATGTCAACAGATTTCCATGCAGCTTACCACTTCATGTAGCATGTTTAAAAGGGTAAGTTTTTAATAGATAAACATTTTGATTATCTGTGAAAATAATTTGATAAAAATATTTAATTATAAAAAAAATTGTAAAATTCATTTTTGATCTTGTAGAAAAGAATATTTTGACATGTCTAGGTATCTACCTGTATAAACTCTTGATCCATAAAAACAATCACAGATTTAATAAAAACCTTTTCATTCATAAGTATAATACAATATATAAAAATGACATATGTTTAGATTATTTATAATACCAGAATTCACCATTGCTGGGTTGTACCTCGATAACCTGTTAACTGAGCTTTTAAAAAAGAAAAAATCTACCCTGAATGCTCTTTTAATTAAACGTTGATTCTACTCATTGGATGAATATATAAATTATTGTTAAACTATTTTATGTTTTTATTTACCCATGTGTATAATACATTGTATTTTATATCTAAATGATTATTGTAACATACTTAATTTAATTTTGTTTTTAATATAGAACCATTTTTGTAGCTATTGTGACCTGCCTTATGTTAGATGATCTAAAGAAATTAATAAAGTATCTATCTATCTATAAAACATGTCCATTTACTTAACTAATCAATTAAAATTTAAATTACTACAGATTGTTAACTTTCAAAAAATATACTCCCATAGAAACACTGGAAATTTCTAGAAATACATCTTTATGGCTTTGATAAATCAGAAATAATAAATTTATAGTTGGTTAAGGTTCAAATAAAGACATTTTTTAGTCTCTGTTGGAATTAATGTTATATTATTTAATAAATTTTCTAGACATGATGAATGTGTTGAGTTATTATTAAAACATGGAGCCAAATCTGATGTAGAAGCTAGAATGTGTTGGCCTGGACCCCATAACAGCAATTGTGAAGAAAGAGGAAAGTACTGTAAGTTTACTATATCATTAAAAGAGCTATAATAATGACATCTCTAAATTTGAGTAACAATAATAGTAAGTTTTATTCTAATGTGTCCAAAAATTTCGTTTTTCAGACAGAACACAGTTGAAAAGTACAACTCTTGAATATACCTCATTAAGTACTTTATCTGCCATGGCCTCTAAAGTTAAGTTTTTCTTTAACTGAGTTGGCAATTGAACAATTTCTGTCGTGTCACTGTGCTCATATCAAATTAATTTAATTACTTAGTTTATTAAAAATTGGTGACAAAAAAAAAATTACAAAAATGAGTAGTGATAAAGAATTCATTACGGGCACGCCCCTAGAAATTAGAGACGCGGCAAACTTGGAGTTTTTTGAATTTAATTCCAAAAAAATCAAAAAATGGTATAAGAACCTACCTCAGATTTGAGAATTCTAATCGGTATGCAACACTTTATTCACTTACGTTTAGAGGCCATGGTCTATGAAGTATATACAAAAGTTCTACTTTCGACTATGTTTTCTGTCAGAAAAACGACGTTTCATGACACATTCGAATAAAAAATATTTTTTAGCAACTATGGTCTATAATATTGGTACAGTTAATCTTATGGAATATGTTATTAGCTCAATTCATTTTTTTAATATTCCCTTTTTTAAATATTGAATTATTCTGGATAAACTAAAACCAAGAACCTGGTCAATTTTATTCATGATAACAATTTATTAATATTGTAACTCTACTATTTATGGTGCTATTAAAAAATTGAAGATTTTGGCATAAATTTTATGAAAAGTCTTCAGTGTGATATGGGAATATTCAAGAGTGTGGATCTACATGAAAAATGAATGATAGTTTGCTTTATAAAACTATGGTCCAAAATTTTTCCGAAAATACAGGGTGTTAAAGTTTTAGGAAAAAAATCAAATAAATTAATATTTGTGGAACCGCTTGATATATTTTAGTGATATTTAGTACGCAGTGACAGTTAATATAGAGCAACTAATTGAACACCATAACTTCAAAAGGGCCTAAGTACCAAAAGCATGGAAGAAAGTTATGAGTAAAATAAAAATTTTATATATCATATACCTACGGACATATACATTCGCCATGTTTATCCCACTACAATAAATGGATTTCTTTGAAAATGCACTTATAACCATTTGGATATCGTTAGGGTTGGTATATTAAACCTGATTTTTTTTTTAAATTTTGGTACTTAGGCTCTTTAGAAGTTACAGTCTTCAATTATTACATTAATTTTCTCGAACAATAAATGGATTTTTATTTTTTTAATCAAAAAAGACGTATCACATGAAAACAAATCAAGAGAGCTCTTATAAATTGAAAGGGGAAATCAAAAATATATTTTTATTTGGAGAGAAAAAACCATTGGCGTACCATTTTTTTATTCAAAAATATCGATGTCAGTGCTTGAACAAACGTCACCGTTAAAGTTGAAAATTATTTATGTATTGAAAAATATGTACCTTTATTAACTGTCACTGCCTACTAAATATCACTGAAATATCCAAGCAGTTACGAAAATATTTCTTTTTTTTTTTCTAAAATTTTTACTATCCATATTTTCGTAACGGAACATTTTTGGACCATAGTTTTTAAAGCAAACCCATTTATTTTTCATGTAGATTCGCACCCTTAAATATTCGCATATCATTAAGGAACTGTATAGAGAGCTTTTTAGTTTCTTTAGAAAGACATTTAAAATTTACTTTCATTTAAATGTTTTTTGTGAATACCAAATTAAATTTGTGATTTTTAAAATTTGGAAAGCATCTTTGCAGAAATATATGTATTTTTTTCAGCTTCTGCTGCTCAGCATGAAGAAACTTGTATAGAAAGAGAAAGTAGAGAGAGAGTACCAAGTACTAAATTACAGTCAGCAATTTATTATGCCCTAGATGGTGATCAAGTCAATATCTTGACACTTTTGTCACAAAGAGGAGAAGATCCATGGGTAATAATTTTATAAAAAAAAATTAAATGTACCCTATATTTTTAAAATTCTATTTTAGAATGGAATTTTTCGAGCAAGGAAACCACTCTTGCATTCTGCTTGTGAAAGAGGTGCTTGGAAATGCACCGAATATCTTATTAAAGAAAGATCTGATGAAATTCACATTATCAAAGATGAATATTATCCAATTCATTATGCTGTGTTGCATGATAGTAAATTTTTGGAACTATTAATAGGTATACAATTATTAAGTTTGCTATGAACATTTGACATTATAATTATAATCTAAAATTACTTATTTGAGAAGAAAAATTATTAATTTTAATTCCACCTTATGCATATTAAGCAGTATAAAATATAACTTGTTTAATCCTGACTCCAGGAGAACGGTATAAAAATAATGCATATTGAATAGAGATAAATAGAATTATGCATCGCCAAGTGTGAACTGCAATATACCATGCTTGCCATCAAATGGGTGTGGTTAAATCAATTACTCCCTTTATCCCACTAATGTCCAAATATAATTAATCGTACTGTTTATACTTCTTTTTATTCCTGCTCTGTAATTGGGATTGCCTGTAGATCATTGTAATAAATAAATAAATAAATAATAAATTTATTTTATTTTTATCCGAGAGTTTATAGTTAAGCTATGTTCCAACCTTTTGGACATCCTTGGTATATTTTTCCAAATAAACATTTTCTCTTTTTTTTTAATAGGTGACTGTTTACCTTACCGCCATTTAAACACTAAAACATGTTGAGTTGATTACTTTCTGAAGCGTGCAAATTCTAACAGCAAACTCCCTCCGCACGTCTAATCAGTGGCGTCCAAGCTAGCTCAAGCGAAGCCATTGACATTATAATGTCTTACAAAAAGTTATAGATTCAAGGGCTCCTCTATTTTGGCAGGCATTTGTGTCTCGGAACGCATTCAGTTCATATCTACACATATTTTCATAACAAATAGAATCCGGCATCTGTTCTTTTGTGTTTTTCACACATTATGTATTAGAACAAATCTCGGATAAAAAAAATACGTGTGGCACTCAGGGACTGCCGCGGTAAAGCTATTGCATAGCATTTTTTATCAACTTATGCAATTATAATTATTTATTTTATTTATGCAGTATTTTTTTTTCTTTCATATTAATTCAAGTTTTTTCTTTGATATTAATTCAAGTTACACTTTTTGAGCGTGGTGACCGATAAGAAAACAAATATTTTTCTTTGAATAAATGAGAAGTTAATATTGTTTAAAATATTTTTATTATCTTACAGTACATATAGGTTATTCAGGAATTTTTATCATTGAAACTATAGGTTTATGGTAACTGAAATAATAAACATAAGTTTGAGACTTGATATCCTCTAAATATCTGGAAAATACCGCGTCAATGGTGGTCCCATATTTTGTTGTGGATTCTTGTGGATCATTATTCATTTTCAAATTAAATTTTTCCGAAATTGTGTCTAAAAGAGATAGAATCAGTTATGAGCAGTTAGCAGCTAGTCTACACGCATACGTCTAGTCGCACGCACACAAACACCGTGCCGAAGTCTGCCGAACTGAAACGACGTTAGACGATGCACGGCTTTCAACGCCGCACCGCTGTGCCGGTCGGAGTGGGGGTGTTAGGTTTATTTTCTTTACGGAATTTCTTTTACGATTTTTCCATTTTTCGATTTTTCGAGGAGTTAGGTCTATTTTCGTTACGGAATTTCTTGATACGTTTGCCGCGCTCAAAGCCCGCGATAAAATCTGTGCAATAGCTTAATAATGAAATAGTTAACACTGATAAAATAAAAATTAATATTTTTTCTACACCCGTATTATAATAATGCACTTATATGCCCATAATCCGTTTCATTATGATACCCATTATGATACAGATTTTTCATTACGATACAGATTTTTAATCAACAGAAACATACAATTTTTCAATCAAGCATGTTGTTTGGCGTTTGTCCTAGGTTCCTATGTAATTGTTTTAGTTGTCAAAACGTATTAAATTTTCGTAGATAGCTAAACTTCGATAATTATAATATTAAAATGTCACATATCGGAGAAAGAAAATACAATACAAAATATTTTGCCGCAAAAATCTAGGGAAATACCAATACCCGAAGTAATACCATTTATTACAATTTTGTAGAATTTTTTATAGAAATACGAGTAATTACTGTTATTGTGTTCAATACCAATATAAATATAATATTTATAGGTCTTGATTATTTATCGGGTGTAGAAAAAATAGCGTATGCAACTCTCATGTAATGGTTATTAAAACACTCGCATAAACCATACGAAACTCGCCTTTGGCTCGTTTCGTATCCCGGGTAATGCTCGTGTATTAATAACCATCATTACATAATCGTTGCATAATATACTATTATAAATCTTGCAAAAAAAATTAATATCTAATATTTACGCCAGCCGGGAACATTTGTGATACTAATTTATTAGAAGCCAGAGAAAGCTCTTCTAGTTCTTGTATTGCATAAACGTTCCAGTCCGCAGACGTATATTTAACTCCGCTTCATACTAATACGAATAGGGTCGGATAAAACCTTCCACGGCTTTCAAAACGCCGCACCGTTGTGCCGGTCGGAGTGGGGGTGTTAGGTTTATTTTCGTTACGGAATTACGAAATTTCTTGATTCGGTCGCCACGCTCAAAGCCCGCGATAAAAGCTATGAAAAATTGAGCCGTATATCTCCATTCCATGTAATTACAACTGAAAGTGTATACCGTTCTTATTTACTTGATAAAAAAAAGAAAATTTGTTATATTTTATGCTCAAATTAATTTCGTTTCATTCTACATTGATCGTTCACGAAAATAAGGTAGGTATACAGTGTGAGATGTTATTTCTGTTCGTAGATCACGGTGCTGACACAACAGTACGCACATGCACACAACAGATGACTCTGTTGCATGTGGTGCTTTTGGTTGCACACAAAACAGCAGAAGATACAATAGCAACGATAAGGTTATTACTGGATCATGGGTGTAAAGAATTGATTAACACTCCTGATAGTCTAGGAAATACTCCATTGCATGCGCTAATAGTAAGGTTAGTCATAAGTTTTTATTAAAATTTTGTGAAAAGTTCTTATGTTAGTAATAAAATACTGAGTCTTCTATTATTTTAAATCTATATCACAAAGTATTGAAACTAATTTTCTATCTGCTGCTTTTTTTTAAATAATATAATTTTCTTAAAAGTATTTTTCATCAGGTGTTTTGAAAACGAATCCGTTCACAGAATTTGAAAATGTCATTTTTATAATGTCAAAATTGTCTAGTTTAATATCATAAAAACAATATTAATTTTTATTAAAAAATTTAAAACGCCTATAGTAAAACCAGTATTTTAATATGACCTTGTCAACTGAGTGACTTGCACAATACGAGTTGTGGATAGAAGATATTCAACACTTGCATTTTTGTAGTTTCCAGACCGGAAATTAGATTTTTTTTAATTCTGTATTCTGTTCTATTTTAACTTCTATACCTATACAGTTAAAAAAAAGTATCAACGTAGGATTCCCCTGAATAAAAATATTCTTTCTTATTAATTTCACTAATAAACTCATCTAATACTCTCAACAGGATTTATGTGCACGATTTTCGCAGTGAAGTCTTGCCTTTTACTGTTAGACCCATCGGATAAATAATGATTTTGTAAATTTTTCAGTTTTTAAAAATAATGGCTTTTTCATTATTTTTTACCTCTCGTATATGGTTCATATTTTTAATATGTATCAAGTTTGTAGTGGGTTTCAGGTCATGTACTACCTTTTATTAAGAATAAAGTTCTCAGAAATTATAATAAAAAAGTTTGCTAGAAAGTGCAGACATTTTTCGACACCTTGAAAGCCCTGGCAGACGTCGAAAAGTGTTCGCGAATAATTATTGTTGATTGAAGATTATAATGTCATCCAGTTAAACACATTAAAAATTTGCTTTCATACTATAACGTTTTTGGACGAGATTTTTTGGTATCTTGAGGACCTACCAATTACGATAAAAGTATCAGCACCTTTAAATTACACTTTTACATTATGTGTCAAATTCGAGCTAGTGGAATTTTGGTGAGAATAAATGCCATTTTTTAAAAATAGCTTCATTTAAATGGTATAAAAACATTTTCATTCCAGCAACCTTCAAATATAAGATTATCGACTTCAAATAAATCAAAGTACGACTTTAAGTCGCCATTTTGATTACACTTTTCCGTCAGTCTTGGCATCGCTAAGTGTGTCCATCTGTCATATCGCAAAATAGTGTTTATGTCGTCTCTACTTCATTCTATCTTAATGGTGCACACACAAAAAATCTTAAACCTTCATACTATAATGTAGGTTTGGCAATCGCTGGCTCTCACACTAATACATTATATGACTTAAAAATTACTTATAATAGTTTGATATCATTTATTTTCGGAAAACATCTTTCTTTTTAAAAACTTCAAAAAATTCGAAGAATTGATTTTTATTCAATTTTAAGTTATCTTGAAAACCTCCTCTTAACATTATTTTATCCCTTTTTGACTTATAATTTGCCAGAGTTTTCTATTTATTATTCTTTCTTAACTTAGCAATAATGGGACATTTTCAAATTCTGACAACAGATTAGTTTTCAGCGACCCTAAAAAACCCTTGAGTAATTATTTTTATCAATTTAGACAAATACTTTGTTAATGCGCTTTTATATTTAAACCATACATATATATTTTATTTTCGTTGGACGTGAAAAACGGCCTAATATTTTTAATGGGCATTAATTCAGTGAAAAGGTTTTCATTTTAATCTTACTTCGGTACAAGCGTCTGTTTTTTGAAAATAAATCATTCTCCCTCCACTTTAAAACGTTAGAGAGAAAAAATAATTCCGAAATACATTTATAGATATGCATTAGAAGAAGCCCAATACGGATATGACAAATGGAATAAATGGGATATTCTCCATCTTGTAAGATACTTAATTCAAAATGGCGCTAGACAGTCAATTAACCATACTGGAAATTCAGCAGTAGCTTGTGTATTGAGACATGTGAGAGATTGGGATGTATGTTATGAATTGGTCAATATGTTACTCAATGAAGGAGGTAAGTAAGTCTTAACAAGAACATGCATCGACTTCATTAGAACATGTAGCCTTATACTTGGTTAAGTATAAACCATTTTATATACTTGGGGTTTCACAATGACAGAATATAAATTTCAGTACAGATTTACGTAAAAATATTTTAGTGTTTTAGAATAGTATATTGTTTAACGAGTGACGAAAGTAGCATTTTCTGCAAACTAGAGAACAGTTCTCATGCTGCAGAAAATGCTTTTCGACGAGTAAAACACTACTTTTTCTATAACCGTGGCTTATTATATAGGATGTACAAGAAGTTTGAATGGGTTGAATTATCCTTAAAGTGATTTCGACGAAATCTGCGATTTAGGGGTAAACCATGTTTTACCATGTTTGTTTTGGCATCTACCTTTATATTATAATTGAACTTTTCCTTTATAAAATCCTAAAAATGAATTCTAAGACTGCAACAATAATTTTATAATATCTGAAATTACAACCACTTACTTTCGTCACTAGAGACGAAAGTTAACGTTATGGGATATTCGATCACTGGTGTCGGAACTGGCGTTTTCGGTTGGAGTAAAACGTGACGAAAGTTGTTGATTTTTAAATGGTTATAGAAAAAGATATAAACACTGAAAGTTTTTGGCCTTTATACTGTCATTGTGAACCCCAATATTTTGATAACGAGCCGCCACTGTACTTGAAGTTATGTAAAAACCTTTTGACTATATTTCTTTGAATTATCTTCATGTTTTCTATGGTTGTTTTGTTTTTAGGTGACCCAAATATGGTAGGACGAGATGGTTCTGTACCTTTAATGGTTTGTTTAGTACCGCTTATTAATAAAGATCCTTTACATCATTTTACTCATAGTATGAAAGTAAGTACTTTATTTTTGCGTTTGTCGTCTTTCTTCATATTTTTTAATTCTAGATTAAATAAAAGTTCTACTCCTAGGTGCATACTAAACGAGCAATATTGTTTCAGGTCTGCTACTTAAATTGCATCAAAATCCTGCTTAAACACGGAGCAAATTCGAATTGTAGCTACAGAGTAAATTTAACCCCGTTACATGTCTTAGTTTTCACTGTATCCGAAAACATTACGCTTAATTGCAGTGTTCAGAAAAGGATAAACTTCGAATTTATTAAAAACTTATTAATCTTATTGTTAAATCACGAACTGGATCCTAATGTTAGAGTCAGCAGAAAAACTGAGCATATCTTGCAGTCCTGCATGGATATGATACAGAACGTTAGAGATTGTATGGATATTCACTATGTGTAAGATTTTTAAATACTTTTTAACCGATTTCAAAAAAAGGAGGATAGAGATTCTCAATTTTTTTGTATGTTCAGCGATAATTCTTTACCAGGTTGTCCGATTTGTATGATTTTTTTAGAAGCGAGGCACCTCAGGGGTAGTTTTTTATAAATTTGGTCAAGATCTTGTAATAGGACCATGAGAAAATCATCTCTTCATTTATCATTTTCTTTACTACTAGAAATATCTTGATTACTCTTTGGAGGCAGGATTCAAGGTGTTGCCTCAAAGATTAAGTCAAGAAATGATGTTGATGTCAGCGTGTTTGGCGAACAGTGCCGTACCTAAATTATTTATTATTACTAATAAAAATGCTTTGTATTTTTAACAATTTCAAATTATTGTAATAACGTCTTATATATTTTTAGTTACGACTTAACGCTTACGCTTATCCAATACGGGGCCAATCCTGACTTAAGCCTTAATATGTCGGAGGCCATCAAGAACCATCCTTTGCATTCGCAGAGCATTTGGAAGACCAAGAACTACATTTTGTACTATTACATCATGTTGATATCCAGAAAAGAGAATCTCATTACCGATCCTCATCTTAGTTTTGCAAAGATCATATGGTTATTTTACTGCGTCATGCAACACAAGCCTCTTTTTGAGTGCCTCAAGGTAAGGTTGAGTTTTAAGGTAAACAAAAGATTTAATCTACGTTTTTTTACAGATCTTGTACACTCAACAACTAAGTCTCGTCCCCGGCAAAACGACTGAACCCTTAACTGCCATCATCAGAGACCTCTACAAGCGCCCGCGAAGTCTCAAACAAATTTGTCGAGTAAAAATTCACAATTGTCTAGGGCGCAGGCCTGGACTGTACATCAACAAGCTGAACCTGCCGAATCAGCTCAATGACTATTTGTTGAACTTCCAGGCGTGAACGAAATAGGTATATTCTAAGGAAACGGAGCGTGAGAGAGAGAAAGGAAGATATAATATAGTGAGAATAAAGTGCAAAACATTTTTCTCTGAGAGCTTTTTCTGTATTCTACAGATGATTCTAAAATTCTAGCTAAAACATGATTTTTTTTTATAATTCTTTAGGTTCGATATATGCAGTAGACAAAGGTAATGTAACAAAAAATTGAATTTATATTCTTTCTTCTATATGCTTTTCTCGTTTTTCTATGTTTTCACCAGGTTCTTGTCCAATTTTTTGTGTTTTATGCCTCCATCATTCTTTTCAACTGCTTCCACATTATTTTGAAGTTTGAGTCTGCCTTTCTTGGTTGAAATACCGGCCTGTTTATTTTTAAAAATTTATTTTTTATAAAAAAAAGTTTTGTTTTTGTCTGGTTTCTGAGTATTTCTTCCAGTATTCTGAAGAATTCGAGTAGGCATCAATAAATTTTTAAGAGTCTCTCTTATTGAGTTATCCCAAAAATAGTATTGGATTTATTTTTTCCATTTTAACGAGTTGTACCTATAAATTGTTAAAAGGGAGGAATCAACTTTTAAATAATTATGTATGCTAATTAACAACATTCGGCAGAATGTTATTCTTTCCAAAATGCAAACATTTAGAATCATTTGTAGAGGTTCTCGGAGCACTTTGAAACTTAAAAATTCGAATCTGAAAATATAATAATGGTGTTTCTTAAGATCATTTTTTAATCAAATACTCAAAAAGATTTTTTTTAGAACTTTCTAGTCGAAATATACAGGGTGTTTCAAAAAGGTATGTCATAAATTATACCACGTATTCTTGGAATACCATGACTAACAAAATCGAAGTAGAGGCAAAATATTTTTTTTTATTTTTGTATGATTTTGGAGGGTGTCACCGCCCCTTTCTCTATTCAACTTTTTTGTAATATAAAATTTTATTAAAAATCAAACGCTACTGAAATGCAACATATATTTGGAAACTTTTTTTCTCTTAGTATTTGTTTGTAAAATGTTTGGTTTAGACGATAGAGCCACTTAAAATTACCTATTCAATGTAAATTATACGTATGCAAAAATATCAAAATTCGATTTTCATTGTTAAAACTATGTAGTAAGTGTATACAGGAGGAGAATGTAATTTTGAACACCTGTTAAATTAAATGTTTTTATTTTGATGACATTAGTTTGTAATTTAAAAATAAACTTGATTTTGATATTTTTCATACGTAGAATTTCCATTGAATATTTTTAAGTTGTCATTTCAAATGGCTGTATCGTCTAAACTAAACTTTTCACAAATACTAAGAAACAAAAAAGTTTCCAAATTAATGTTGGATTCCAGTGGCGTTTCATTTGTAATTAAATTTTATACTACAAAAAAGTTGAGTGGAGAAAAGAGCGGTGACTCCTTCCTATAAAAATCAAGAAAAAAATATTGCCTCTTCCTCGGTATTATTAGTCATGGTATTCTAACATGTCATACAAAATTTCATGAAAAAATGTCAAACGGTTTAAGAGCAACGTTAAAAAAATTCATTTAAATTTTTAACTATTTTTGGGTGCACTTTTGTATATAGGTAAGTACGGTTTAATCGACCTATTTTTGACCCAAGAATATGTGGTATAATTTATGACCAATCTTTTTGAAACACCCTGTATATATATAAAAAAATAAATGAGAACTAAATAATTTTTCTGGATAACAAGATTTCAAAAAATTTTAAATAAAAAAAAATGTGATAAAAATATTTAATATTTATATATTAGGGTTAATTAATAGATGTACAGGGTAATAATAAAAACTCTTAATAGTTTGCCACATAAACTTAGATTGGTCTCTGTCTTTAATACAATTTAAAAAGTTGATAATATCTTACTTCGATACCTTTGGAATTTAAATAATATAAATAGCAACTACTTTAAAAACATGTAAAATTTCTTAAAATTATTTAATTCTACCATTTAAAGTGATTTATCCTCTGCAATTAAAATACTTTAATATTATGTCACCTGTAAAAAATTACTTAAATTATACTATCCATGTAATTAGGCTAGTTAAGCCTGTTTGGATTTTTATTAAATAAATAAATAACAAGCACAAAATAAATAAATAAAAAATCTAACATGCTAACCAGACATTTCGTAATGGGTCTGATCTTTGGTGTCTACAAATTTAGTAAATTAACATTGAAAATGCCTAGGTATGTTGTAAAAAACTGCATTTATAATAAAAGTGTGAATCTGATAAAGGAATCCTATATTATTTATCCTACATGTATTTTGAAATAATTGCTAATCTACCTAAATTATGATAATTTTATTTGCATCATTCTATAGTTTTACATAAAAATTGCTTAGCAACTCTGTAATATTTTTCAAACCATTCTAAAACGGTAATAAAATACAGTTTGTACCATTTAAAAAAGAATATGCCCGGCAGAAGCATAATAATGTATGTCCAAAAATATTTTCAAAGTATGTATTTTTCAAATTCATATAAGTTTTATTTGAAACTATCTACCGTGTGTGCCATAAAGTTGAATCTATATGATATTTTTAATAATACGATTGAAAATAACGTCATGAGGAAATCACCTATGCTTATTTAAATTTAAAATTAAAGTTAGGTTTACTGAAACGTGTCACACCAGAAAAAAATAACCTTAAAAGTGTATGCAAATAATTCTCGGATAATTATTGCATGAAACTAAAAATATTAATACGAACGCTTACCATATTATACCGATGGATTTTTTTAATCAAAAAAGGAATTAATAAAATATGGCTAGGATATTCAATGTTAAAAATGACCATGTTACAAATGATTATCGATTTACAAAACACAGAATCGTGACGTGGATTAAAGATAGCACCCAAGAGGTGGAAGAAAAAATAGTATCATAGATATACCGTTACACATATACCCCTTTCACCGAGTTTCTCGGTGCTAGCGGATTTCCCGCACTGGCAAATGATTTATATGTAACCTCTACCATTTTTAACCTCTTTTGTTTATATTATAATTAATTAAACTTTTTTTGCTTGGCAAGTGACAGACTATAAATAATTGTTAAAGTTAACGTGGTTATTTTTCTCGTACCCTGTATACATTTAAAATAAAATAATTCTGAAAATTAACCAAAAATTGCGCTCGTCAGTTGACGAAATATTCGCATTTATGAAATGTTTGTTTAATTTGTTTTTCTTTTTATAATGTATTTTATTTTTATGTTTAATTTTATTATTGCATTTAATGTTTATAACTATTTTTACATGAACTGCTCTTGACGCGTCATTAGGTGTAAATGACAAACGTTTTTTAGAGTTGCTTCTTGCTTCAAGTAAAACTAATTTACCCTAAATATGAATTAAATTGCTCCTGAAGTATTTTTTTTTTTAAATATATAAGAATAAACTACCTTTATTTTTAAGATAAAAAAAAATAGTAAAAGTTATTTAGAATTGTTTTAATGTAAAATACAGAAAGGCAGATGTTTTTTTATGGTAGAAATGCACTTATTGCCGCGCCCATTGTATATCTCTAATAAATGTTCTTTTTATAAATAGTATTTAAAAAATATATCTAAAAGAGTTTTTTAAACATTTTTATTTTGATCTAAGAAACACCAATATATCGCAATTATATACAGTGTATTTCAAAACGAAGTTTTCGCCAAAACATAAAGAAGAAAATTATTAAAGAAATTCACTGTGCATTATTTAAAAAAATAAATTGTATAGTCTATATTACGTTAATATATTGTGATTATTGTTATGGAAAATTGGTATCAATATTTGAATAAAAGATATTTATTACGAAACAGTTTTTTTATTTTTAACCGATTTTATAAAAAAATCGTCAAAATATATTTCTTTTTATGTATGTTAATTCTTCCACGTTTTTGTTAGAAAGGGACACCTCAGGGGTGGTCTCATATAAATTTGGTCAAGATCTGAGCAGTTTTTTGGCTCGCAATAATAGTGACACAACTAAAAAATGTCCATTTTCGAGCTTATTGTGAAAATGTTTAGCAAAATATGCATTATTTTTATGTGGGGCGACATATTGATCCTTCCAAAATTGACCGCTGAAAATTGAAGAATCTATGGTCCTAGTTGTGCTCCAGTCAAATTACTATACTATTATTGAAAAGGTCCTTATCAATATGGTCTGAAATATATTTTTCTGGAAGATCGTCATAACTCAAAAAAGGGTTGAAAATATATTTTTTGGTGTTTTCTTAATGTTATTAAATTACAGGCGAACATAATGTCAATTTAAAAAAAATTAAATACATTCAAAATGCAAGATCACGATAAAGGAGGAAACTTTAAATAGGATAGATATTCTCTAAAATCTATATTTTTGAGTTTTGTATACCAACGAAGTATAACTACATGCACATAACTACCACCTATATATTTTGGTTATTGGGACATTAAGCTTTATTATTTAAGGCGCAAGTTTAAAACAGACCTAGACACAGCTCTCAGCCGTTACATATCTTAGGACTCCGACCAGCGATCAATGCATTTAATAAAATTTGCTCAAAACTATTTTCTCTAATTGGCTATCTGCTGATATGTTGCTGATGGTTACATACATCTGACAAGAATACCAGATGTATGTAACAACAGTGTATATTAAAAATGTTCAGTTCGTTTTTCGCCTTTATAACTATTGTAATTTGTAATTTATCCCCCATGGTTAACAGATTATGGTGAGTTTTTTCTAGTTTTTCCATTCTTTCGTAACTTTTCTTATTACATTAGCAGTCGTTTCAGTTAACCTACTTTTAGTTAGTACATTAATACAATTAACCTTTTTTTAGTATGAATAAATTAATATTATAGTGGATAAGTATTGTTAATAATTCTTAAACTAAATCATTGTTTCATGTTGCTACCAATAGAAATTCACCAATTTCCTCTTGCCCACTAGGCGTGCCAGATGAAGTTATAAACTTTGAAACCGGTCGCATTAAAATACAT